CCACACATCTCCTCCCCTCAGCCTGCATCATAATCCCCTTATACTGTACCCAAATTCCCCCAGTTTCTGGATGTACCCCTAAACCTAGGGGTACCCTTTTTAATGGCACATCCCCTGGTAGCCCTGATCTGGGTGAGCAACATATCCAAAAATCACCCAGATCGGACCAGGGGTTCGGGAATTTCCTGGAGGGAATAAAATGACCCACCGTGCTGGATGAACTAGCCGAATTGGGCTCCATGCGATGGGGCCCTGCGGTCGGTCCTGGAAAAGGCGAATGAAGTACCTGAAAGCCTCCAGCTATAGAGGCTTGGGAGGGTTCGCCTGAATCCCCTCGTTCGGTTGATTATGCCTACCGAACGAGGGGCCTGTTACAGACTGCCATTTGTAACTGTTATTTTATTTGACAAATTACCCTGCTTCCCTGTGTTATGGAGAAGCCTAATTGCCAGCCTTCTGCCCCATAACTATGGACCTAGTGTGTATGGTGATTTGACTGTATTTCTGGGATCTGTTTGGATATATTGAGCGCTCAGATCCAAGCCATCTGGGGATAGGTCGAATGTGGGGGTTCTGTTCAGTATGATAGGAGTTATGTATTTTTGTGTCTTTTGCTAACATGTGGTTAATGGAGTCTGCCTCTATCCCTGGATATAAGTGGATTATTTCCCCCCATTGTCTCCAGGATAGAGGGCTCTGTAAAACCGGTTTGGGCCAGATAACCATGCTGCCAGCCAGGCCCCAAAAGATACTTTTGCTAACTTTTGAACCCCTTGTCTGATTTGTGCCATTTAATATGTTGCTCCCCTGAATGGATTGATTCTAAATATGTAATTTGTATGAAGATTGGATGTATGGTTTTAAAGTTACAGGGTATGGGGAAAAACTATTTTTACTGCCTGTGTTTAATTATGTTAACCCATTGTGTACCATAATTAGATCACAGGCAGAGGGGAGGATTTTTGTGTGTAATTGCTGGGAGTGTTTCTGTAATGTACGTTTATTATTGGTTGTTGTGTAAAACCCTGTGGGTGGTCCTATCTCAGGGAAACCTGCATAAAAGAAGGTTCTTTGTGTGCCAATAAACAGAATGACTTGACCCTCTTACTTGCAGCCTTGACTCATGTTTGTAGGGGACAGCTATAATCACTACAGGGATTGCTATGCTCTTCATACTCCCTTAGCTACTGAGCTCTTGTAAGAGCTCTTGTTCCTGTTCCTGCTTCGCTCTAAAGAAGGAAGAGGTTCACCTACTGGAACCTGGAGCCTGGTCGTAGGTCCAGGGTGGATAGCAGACGGCGAGATCCTAGCCCAGCAGCGGTGGTTCATTGAGTCTGCAGTACTTATGGTGGTCTACACAGTACTTATGGTGTCTACGGTGCTGATGGTCCTTTGGTGAGCGCTAGGAGCATCCTTTCTACGGTCCAACTTCCAGCCAGCCTGGAGGCAACCGTAACAGGGCCGTTCGGTAGTTTGGAACCGAACGGACCGGGCTGTTGGAGGTCTCAGCGGTGTTCGCCTAGTCGAGTGTCAGTTTTGAGTTCCACACACTCGACGGCAAAACACCGCTGTTCGGGAGGTTAGAGGTAAGATGGCCACCGCCACGTGTTCGTTTCTCGAATGGCGGCCACCCCTGAGAACAAAGGATTGCTACACAGCTTGTCAATTACCCGTTCGCACACTTCACACAGGGGAGGTCTGACTGTTTGGTAGTTTCATTCAAACAAACTAAGGGAATGAAACTACCTAACATTCAGACGAATCCAATACATTTTACACATAGAACTTAGCTATTTTACACAAATACATTCCCTTACTGCATAGACATTTAGCAATTAGACGAATACAGGTTACACATAATACAAGTCCCAGGGCAGCTCCTGGCCATCCGCTACAGGGTGTCTGCCATTGGAGACGTCCTTTTTCCCAGCGAGAGGCTGTGCTGTAGAGTAGTCACGATATCCCATCCGCTGGATCAATGTAGAGAGAGAAAAGCAGAGCTCTTAAAAGAGCTAGTGATTAAGCTGGAGCAGGTTCTCTTTCAATAACAAGACGAGGCTATGTTTTGAAGGTGTGGCAAAATTAACATCGCCACTTGGGCCTGGACTGATGGCTAGCCTCTTGCCTTCTGACTATGGCCCTGATGTGTATGGCCCTTTAAGAACCATCTGGGGACATATTGAGACTTTGGTGTACAATGCCCCTTAAGACTGTGTCCCCAGTCCCCTAAAATACTTTATTCGTGCTTTTCCCACTTGGTTCAGTAAATGGAGCTTACTGACCCAAGTACCACACAGACGGACCACACAGAAGTGGAAGCGTGCGGCTAATTTACCTCTCAAGCTGTGAGGTTGCTGTAGGTAAATTGCCAACCACTGGGTGGCCATCTTGATTTAGTCGAACGTGGTCAGCGGTGTGTGCCCCTGAATCTATGGAACTGAAATTGGCTACATATTTGGATGAACACCGCTGACCCTTACCTTCTCCTCCACTTTTCAGCAGCGTCTAAGTCCCATTCGGCGATTTGAACACAGTGAGACTAAGCTATTTGCACGAACGGTTAATTATGTTAACCCATTGTGTACAGTAATTATATCACAGGCAGAGGGGAGGATTTTGTGGGACTGAATGGGAGTGTTTTACTGCATATTATGTGTTTTATTGGTTGTTCTTCAAACCCCTGTGGGTGGTACTTTATGTGTAAAATCTTGCACAAAAGAAAGCTCTTTGCTGCCATTAAACAGAACTACTTGACCCTTTCTTGAATCCTTGGCTCATGTTTGGGGATTGCTATATTCACACTATACTCCCCAGTGTAAGCTCTTGTAAGAGCTATTCTTGTTCCTGCTACGCTCTCTGGGGGAAGAGAGGCCTGACCACTGGAAGTTGGATCCAGGGTAAGTGAAACGGCGAGACCCCAGCGCAGCTGCATCGCTGGATGTGGTGTCTGCAGTGCTGATAGTGTTGGATGGAGTGCTTGGAGTCCTCGGCAAGCGCTAGGAGCATCGATTGGCGGAGGTACTCGGTAGGAGTGCCAGCGGTCCGTCACAGAAGGGTTAAGCAGAACTGTTTTAATGACCACACAAGCAGTTTCTTTTATACACATTTCCCAACAAGGTTACCACCCATGTGGATCTTGTTGGATACTGAAGACATAAACACAACAGCCAATCATTTACAGGTTTACAGTTAAAACACACCCATTCATCACTGTGCATTCCTCCATTCTGCTTAGGAGATAATCGAGTTAATTGTTATATCAGCTCAATTATCTCCAAGCGAAAAAAATATACTATTTACATACTTTTTGTAACTTTAAAACTATACATACAATTTTAATAAAATTGCATATTATTAACCAGCATAATCAGGGAAACAACATAGCCAAAATTCAGCTGAATTGGACCAGTGGTTCGGGAGTTAGCTAAAAGTCTGATGTGACCGACCTCACGCACGCACATTTTCTTGCCCAAAGCAGTTCCACAGATTTAGGCTGTGTGGTCGGTCTATTTTTTCCATTCGCCTTAAGTACCATTTGCACGAACAGTTCCGTTCGTGCCTACTGTCAATGAATGCGTCCTGTTCGTGAGTTTATGCTCCCGAAATAGCGCTCTGTTCGTATAATTCTAGCCGAATGCATGGAAGGTAGAAGTTTCAGCGGTGTTCGTGGAAAAGGTAGCCAAAATTAGTTCGAAGACCAAACACTGCTGAGTGTGTTCGACTAGACAAAATTGCCATAGCCACGTGTTCGCACAGACGAACGCCGACCACCATGTTGATACTTTAGAGGTGTTTGCGGGTTTTAAGGGTCAGGGAAGTTAATGGGTGCCACACTCCTGCTTTGGGTGGTCGGTCGTTCAACAGAAGATTCGATACATGAACCAAATACAGGTTCATTCATATTAGGTGAATGATTTAAACAAACGGTTTTCTCTCAGTTACATGAAGCAAATACAAGGAGTCTGTTAGAAGGGAGATTTTGTACAAGGTTATAGTCTGGGGACCAGGCAATAACAGAGGTTCTGTTACAGTCGTGAACTTTTATGGAGCAAAAGCTTTCTCAAGAATAGAGTTTGTAACGGACCGTTTTGCACATAAGCAGTTAAAAAACGTTTAGGCGATATTCCCCTTTCTCAGCTGCACAGACAGCTACTGCAAGCACCGATCTCCCGAACTGCAAACCCACGAAATAACCAACTCCCGAACTGCAACCAAGGGAATACTCAAAACTCCCGAACTGCATACTGTGACAGATCCATTTGTATAACCTGGGATTGCTGGTTCGTCTGTTTTGCCGTTTTAGTGGAATTACTCATTCGTAAGCCTCTGTTCGTATAATTGAAGTTTTTGCCGAACAAAACTACCGAACGGACGGCCACCCAGAAGAGAAGTGTGCTGCTGGTTAACCTCTTGATCCCAATTAGAACATTGTGGTTAACCGCAGACACTTCTCAATTAAAACCGAATACAGGGTGGTCGTCGTTCGTATGTCGACCACGAGGCGGTGGCCATTTTAAACCATGCGAAAGACCAGCGGTGTTCGGCATTGATTTCATAGAACTGAAAACGGACACTTTTTCTGCCGAACACCGCTGAAGCCGCCGACCTCCCTTCTCAATCGACAGAAGTACACGAACACCGGCCACTCGGGAGTTTGAAACGCACGAATGGACTTAACCCAGATAGCCTTCCCATGCAGTCAATCGCATACCGAAAGACTGTAATAGACTTTGACTCCATGGCGATTGAACTATACGTATGGGATCTGAGCGCTATTCAACCAATAATATGCACTCAGATCCAGGCTATCTGGGGATATGTGATACAAATGGGAAATGTTCGACAATTGTAAAGTTATATATTTTTATGTGTTTTTTGTGTTGAATTTAAAATGGCGATTTGTCTCTGTCCTGGAGATAATTGAATTACTTCTCAATTATCTCCAGGGCACAGGGGAGGAAATCATAATGCATGCTGGGAATATTCTGTGTCTGTGGGTCCTAACCTGCCATATGTCTGTCTATTGTTACAGTCTCCCATTTGGTCCCCTAGGGGAGTGTCCACCAAGTGGGAGACCTGCATAAATACGGGCAGGTGGCCCACAGTAAAGCCAGTTCATGTTTTACCCTCAATGCGTAGCTTGGTCTCGTTATTGGGGGGATTTATTACCGATGACTAGAGACTGCCGGATGGGATTATTAGCCGCTTGGGAGATATATGTGTTCAGTGGTTCGGGAGTTAGCTGAAAGTCTGATGTGTGAGTTTGGAGCTCGTGAAGTGAAGTGCCCGTACAGGTCCCGTTCGTGAGATTACAGTGTTCCCCTGCTTGCGGTTCGTATGATTACACTGGATACGAATGAAGCCTGCATTTTTGCGAGAGGGGAGGATTCACTAAGCGACGGGATGAGTCCCACCACCCAGAAGGTCAGCTACACAACCCAGTTTGGTGGAGGAAATGCAGTATGAAGAATTAAAGACATACTAGAACGCAGAGGACGGTCAGCAAGCAATCTTAAAAAACGGGAGATTATTGCCTTGCTACTTGAAATGGATGCAGCTCAAGGAACGGAGAGAGCTAATGTGCCCAGCATCTTGGATTTGACACCCGAGGAAATCCGATTCAACCGGGCAGTCCAGATAAGGCTGGCACACTTTGGCCCCAACTCTACAGCGAACATTGTGGAACGTGTGCAAGCAGCAGTGATGGCACATCAGGCGCTCCAGGAAAGAGGAGCTGCAGCAGCAGAGGTACCCAATAATAATATTGGAAGAAAAAAGGTACCCTTTGCTGCATTTAAAAACAGAGGGAGAGATTGACGGGTTCCTGGTGGATTTTGAGAGACAGTGTGCCCTACACCAGGTACCCGCAGACGAATGGGTCAGTATCCTCTCGGGGAAGTTATCCGGCCGGGCCATCGAAGCTTTTCGGGCCATTCCAGAAGAAAAGATCACCAGTTACCGGGCAGTGAAAGATGCCCATTTGGCCAGGTGCGCGGTGACCACAGAGGCATACCGGCGGCTGTTCCGGGATATAATTAAGCAACTTGGCGACTCCTACGTGGAGTGAGCATGCCGAGTACACCGCACAGCAGCCCACTGGATGCCAAGCCGTAACCGGGGAAGAGGTGCTGCAGGTGTTTCTTCTGGAGCACTGCTTTGATAAATTGCCTACAGGAGTCAGAGAGTGGGTCCGAGACCGAAAACCCTCCACTCTGCCAGAAGCTGCCCGCCTGGCAGATGAATATACGGATGCTCGTAAACTGGACAATGCAGTAACTAAAGTCCCTGCCAGAATGGAATACAGACCAGAAGCACCTCCAACCACTACCATCTACCAACCCCTGGTGCACCGCACTCCAACACTACCACCAGCTAACAATTATACGCAGCCATCCTAGTTCAACGCCCAGGATTACTCTCAGCCCATCCGGTGTTTTGGATGTAAGCAGTTAGGGCACAAGAGACCAGAATGCCCCCTGAACAACACTAACCAGGCACAGTCATGGAGAAGACCGGCCGGCGGAAATCAACGCCCACCTCACTGTATCGAGCAGGAGGAATTTTGGGGCATCTTACATAAGGCAGACCCTGTCCAAGCCGCTCACCAGGACAACCATCAGCAACACCGACAGACTGTCAAGCTGAATGGCACAGTAGTCAGCGGACTACGAGATACCGGGGCTACTATGACCCTGCTCCAAAACAACTTGGTCTTGGAACACCCACATACTGGAGACACTGTGGCAGTGAGGGTAGCAGGGGGCGCCGTGTTCCATCTGCCTGTTGTCCGGGTTCATTTGGATTGGGGAGTGGGCGCTAGACATGTTGATGTGGGGGTTATGAAAGATTTGCCCGCTGATGTCCTCCTTGGGAACGATTTGGCCCCTCTGGTTTCTGCATACGCCCAGATGGGCCCTGCTGACGTTAAACCTGTGACTACCGGTGCTGAGACCCGTGCTACTGGAACCGGCTCACCTGCTGCTGAGACCCAGGTAAGACTCGCTCCCCCAACTTGTACCCTAGATCAGGCCCCTTTAAGCTGGGATACCCCAGAGGAGTTTGGGAGGGAAACCCGGGCGGACCCGACTCTACAGAAGTACAGGGATAGAGCAGATGCTGGAGAGGAAGGAGTAGATGGGGAACAGTATGAGTGGGTGGGAGACAGGCTGTATAGGATTCCTAAACCTTCCCAGAAAAGTGTTGCCCCTCTACCGAATCGGCAGCTGGTGGTACCTGCGAAATACCGGCAGGAGATTCTGCGGATAGGGCATGATGTGCCGCTAGCTGGACATCTAGGTTCTCGCCGCACAGCCTATAGGATCACCCAGAACTTCTTTTGGCCCAACTTTAATCAGGCTGTGCGGGTATATTGTAGTACGTGTCACACATGTCAACAGGTAGGAAAGTGGGGGGACCACCCTAAAGCTAGGCTATTGTCTATGCCTATTATAGGAGAACCCTTTTCCCGCATAGCCGTTGACATTGTGGGTCCACTGGCCAGGGCTAGCCCATCCGGTAAGAAGTATACAGGGAGTGCAGGATTATTAGGCAAATGAGTATTTTGACCACATCATCCTCTTTATGCATGTTGTCTTACTCCAAGCTGTATAGGCTCGAAAGCCTACTACCAATTAAGCATATTAGGTGATGTGCATCTCTGTAATGAGAAAGGGTGTGGTCTAATGACATCAACACCCTATATCAGGTGTGCATAATTATTAGGCAACTTCCTTTCCTTTGGCAAAATGGGTCAAAAGAAGGACTTGACAGGCTCAGAAAAGTCAAAAATAGTGAGATATCTTGCAGAGGGATGCAGCACTCTTAAAATTGCAAAGCTTCTGAAGCGTGATCATCGAACAATCAAGCGTTTCATTCAAAATAGTCAACAGGGTCGCAAGAAGCGTGTGGAAAAACCAAGGCGCAAAATAACTGCCCATGAACTGAGAAAAGTCAAGCGTGCAGCTGCCACGATGCCACTTGCCACCAGTTTGGCCATATTTCAGAGCTGCAACATCACTGGAGTGCCCAAAAGCCCAAGGTGTGCAATACTCAGAGACATGGCCAAGGTAAGAAAGGCTGAAAGACGACCACCACTGAACAAGACACACAAGCTGAAACGTCAAGACTGGGCCAAGAAATATCTTAAGACTGATTTTTCTAAGGTTTTATGGACTGATGAAATGAGAGTAAGTCTTGATGGGCCAGATGGATGGGCCCGTGGCTGGATTGGTAAAGGGCAGAGAGCTCCAGTCCGACTCAGACACCAGCAAGGTGGAGGTGGAGTACTGGTTTGGGCTGGTATCATCAAAGATGAGCTTGTGGGGTCTTTTCGGGTTGAGGATGGAGTCAAGCTCAACTCCCAGTCCTACTGCCAGTTCCTGGAAGACACCTTCTTCAAGCAGTGGTACAGGAAGAAGTCTGCATCCTTCAAGAAAACATGATTTTCATGCAGGACAATGCTCCATCACACGCGTCCAAGTACTCCACAGCGTGGCTGGCAAGAAAGGGTATAAAAGAAGAAAATCTAATGACATGGCCTCCTTGTTCACCTGATCTGAACCCCATTGAGAACCTGTGGTCCATCATCAAATGTGAGATTTACAAGGAGGGAAAAACAGTACACCTCTCTGAACAGTGTCTGGGAGGCTGTGGTTGCTGCTGCACGCAATGTTGATGGTGAACAGATCAAAACACCGACAGAATCCATGGATGGCAGGCTTTTGAGTGTCCTTGCAAAGAAAGGTGGCTATATTGGTCACTGATTTGTTTTTGAATATCAGAAATGTATATTTGTGAATGTTGAGATGTTATATTGGTTTCACTGGTAATAATAAATAATTGAAATGGGTATATATTTGTTTTTTGTTAAGTTGCCTAATAATTATGCACAGTAATAGTCACCTGCACACACAGATATCCCCCAACATAGCTAAAACTAAAAACAAACTAAAAACTACTTCCAAAAATATTCAGCTTTGATATTAATGAGTTTTTTGGGTTCATTGAGAACATGGTTGTTGTTCAATAATAAAATTAATCCTCAAAAATACAACTTGCCTAATAATTCTGCACTCCCTGTATTCTCACCGTGGTGGACTATGCCACCCGTTATCCAGAGGCAGTAGCGCTGTCTAATATAGAGGCAGAGACGGTTGCTGATGCCCTGGTTAAAATTTTCACTAGGGTCGGGTTCCCTCAGGAGATCCTCTCCGACCAGGGATCTCAGTTTACCGCTGTGCTCACTGAGCAGCTGTGGAAGGTGTGCGGCATTAAACCGCTGCTTAGCTCCCCTTATCACCCACAGACTAACGGTCTCTGCGAGCGATTTAATGGCACCCTCAAACAGATATTGAGGGCCTTTACTGACACTTGCAGAGACTGGGAGTGATTCCTGCCTCATCTGCTATTTGCATACAGAGAGGTGCCCCAGGAATCTACTGGGTTCTCTCCCTTTGAGCTACTCTATGGGAGAAGGGTCCGCGGACCCCTAGATCTCATTAGAGGACACTGGGAGGGAGAGACAGAGCAAGAGGGAACCCCCATCGTGCCATACGTTCTGGAACTCCGGGACCACATGGAGAAACTATCCCTGATGGTAAGGGAGAATCTCCAGGCGGCCCAGGGGAGACAGAAGAGGTGGTACGATCGGGGTGCCGGACAGCGGGTCTTTCAGGTTGGGCAAAAGGTTCTAGTGCTCAAGCCTGTGAAGACGAACAAGATGCAAGCATCTTGGCAGGGCCCGTATAAAGTGTTAGCCCAGGCGTGTGATACTACCTATCTTATAGCCAGCTGTGCAGATGAAAGGATTCAGCGATCCTTTCATGTGAATATGCTGAAGGAGTATCAGGAGAGACCAGAGGATGTCGCTGCAGTGTGTGCCCCGGCTGCCGACGACCCCGAGAATTTACCCTTGCCCGACCTATTAGAGAAGGACCCCCAGACTGATCTCACTAGTCTTGTACAGCTAGGGGACCGGTTAAGCCCCACAGAGAAGGTACAGGCAAGACAGCTACTGTGGGAGAAGCAGGCGACGTTCTCCCAAGAACCCGGCTACACTACCCTAGCTGTACACAAAGTAGAGACCCCCGGACAGAGTCCCCTACGACAGCCCGCCTATCGTATCCCTGAAGCAGTCCGGGAAGGAATGCGGAAGGAGATACAGGAGATGACTCGGCTTGGAGTCATCGAACACTCAGACAGCCCTTGGGCCTCGCCTGTA